GTCATCTATGTGACACAGCATGGTGCAATGTGCATCTGGGGTGTACGTGGTATAGTGAAGTAGGGAAGGGAGCTCAGACAGCATGGTGTGGCAAGTAAGGTGGCCACTGGTTCTGTTTTATACTGGACCACCCTGTTAAATCCTTTGTCCCTTGTCCATTTCTAAATAAGGAACGGACAGCAAAAAATACTATTTTTCAGTTCATTGGTGAAAACACATGTCAATCACTTGTCCTCATGATTCTATTGGCTGTACCTAAAGGTAAATGAAGCAGTAAAACCATTGGAACACAGGAGTTATAAAAGCTAACCCAGGTAATGGAACAAGAATCTGCAGTCTCTGTTAAGACTAAGCTCACACAATCCAGCCTGTAGATGATTTCTTGTTCTGCAATTTCATCCTTAAGTCCATTTTTAAAGTTTTGCCAAGAACACCTGTTCTGAGGTCAGTGACGGACTGTCCAGGGAGGTTATAATAGCCTGCCACAAGTTTCTGAATGAATATATAAAAGGTGCCACTCTGCTCTGCCTTCTGCCTGACTTCAGACCAACATGGGTAACAACCTCTCTGTGCACATAGTATATTATAGTTGTAGTTTAAGACTGTTGGTGACAGAGATAGATATAACCAAGTGTACCAGATGTGGCTGCACTATAACAATTATATTAAATAGGTTCTAGAAATCAAAGCAATCTGATGAGTGTAAAGTAAGGTGAAAAGAAAAAGCTAGAGGCAAGCAGCATTCTAAAATGGTCAAGGAACATGATAACAAATCTGCTAAAAACCTTCCAAAATTTTTAATTTTCACAACATAAATCCATAGCCAACTGGCATCTTTCAGAGGCAAAGAAGAACTGTTCCAGGAATGAGGGAATGATGATGATAATAATAATAATAATAATAAACCAATCAGAGAATATTTGTTCCAGTAATGTTAGAGTAGTGTAGCCACAATGGACCATGAAATGTATAAGAGGTAAGGGTTTTATGTGTTATCTTTTACTGGACGAACTATATAGATGAGAAAGATGCTGAACAAATTTTTGGTCATAAAGCACCCTTCTTCAGGTCTAGGTAGTTTTTCAAGAAACTGCATCTGAATTTTAGAAATCTCATTTCATTTTAGGAAATTTTGTTAAAAAAAATGAATTAGACAAATATTTCAAAGTTATTTTTAGAAAGCAGAAATCATGTGCAGTCTGTTGCACAACTTTAGGCAAACAAGTTTCAAGTTATTAGAACTGTAAAACATCACATAAATACCGTGTAGAATTGGTCATTGCCAAGCAGAAGGTTTCATCAAAACTGCTTAATTCATAGGGCCGAAAAAACTCGTTGTGTATATCAATCTCTTCTTCATATTTGTGAAATTTTTTTACTATCAACTTCTGCCTGTTTTCAGAACATGTCACTGGAAAAAAAAGACAACTTATCCAATTTGTAATCAATAGCACGTTTAGAAAAATGTGAATGGTCCTATAGTAACTTAGTGGGACAATTACATATATATTTCTACAAGACAGAAAAACATCATATACAGAACAAGACATACAATTGTAGTCCGGCCCATAAATGTCAACGTTGATAACTATCCAAATTTTATTCACTTAAAAAAAATTACAATCCCTATTTGGAGAGTGTCATGAACCTAAGGGTTTATGAGGTGTCATGCATGACTTCCCAAGTGTGTTTTACTGATATGGCATGTGTAGTGTCCACATCAAGGTAGCATCAAACTATATTTAGCCTCATAAGCCTTATGCTTACATGTATTAGTGTATTTGATATGAAATGTGTTTCTTACATGTTATAATAGGCTCAGGATTGCACAATATGACAACAACTTTCAAGTAGCAAACATTGAACTTCTTTGATTCCTAGGAAAGACCCCAAGCCCAAGTGGCTGAAGAGTAGTAGTGGCTTGGAATTAGCATTTGACTTGCTTACTTGTCTCCCATGAGAGTGTTCTGAGGCACAGGAGCTAGGCTCTGTCAAAAATGGCCAGTCAAGATACTGCGAGGAGTGAAATTCCTCCCTGTGGAGGGAAGTTACCTGAGACAGCATCTTTAGCAATCTTCATGTCTGAAAGGATGCACATATTCTCCGGGCCTGGTTTAGATCAGGAAAGATTTCTGCTCTGGCAAACACATACTTTTTGGGGGTCAGAAATTTATATGCATATTGTTGGCTCCCCAAGAATCCCCGAGATGACGTATGTGAGTAGCCAGATAAGCAACTGTACTTAAGCCTGCCTCCAGAGCATGGTTTTGTCTTCAGTCTCTCAAGTACATGGGAGGCAGTGGTCCCTCAGTGAGAGAGGCTGAGTAAAGCAAGCTGGAAGGAGGCTCTAACAGAGATCAGAGACAAACAGCTTTTTAACCTGTTGAAGCTAGCTAGGGCCTGCAGCCTTGGATTTAAGGTATAGGGTAAGAACAGGTTCTGATATTTTCTTTTGTTTGTTCATTCTTATATCTCTATTTAAATCTCAACATATGGTTACTGTTTTCTTATGCTTGTTCTTGTTTTATTATAATATGTCCTTTTTATCGCCTTTTAACCCACTTAGTGCCAGTGTTAACTGTGATTCCATGGCATTTGACCATACAGGCTCACTGATTCTACACAAAGAGGGATCCACCTTTTCTGAGTGCCTGACAAGGCAATGGTGTGACCCTTCTAGCCAGTAAATCCCCTCTGCTAAGGACTGGTAAGGCTTGAGTGAGACAGGTAGGGCTGAGGTACCACAGGCCAAGGAACTGGCCTCTGGCACATCTCAGCTCACTCTCAATGATCAAGCAGCAGTCAGAAGAGAAGAGAAGCAGCAGTCAGAGGCAGAAGGACACTGCAAAAGCGTGGAAGCACCCTGGAAGTGTGTCACAAAGGTGCTTGCTTTACCCAGGGTATGTCTGGGGTCAGGACATGTCACAGTGTCCAACAGATAATTAAAATATAATTGGATGACACTCCACAAACACTCTATCATTAGTTACAATATTCTTTTGCAAGTTGCTATATTGCTATCCACAATTGAATGGGCAAAGCAAAAGCTATTAAAACACTTCCCTACGTTTAATCCTGTAAAAGGCAAACATCACATATGCAAATCTACAATAACTGCTTGTACAACTGACTGAGAGACATTCGGCCAGTTTAACATATATCTGGTATCTCTTGCACATATTTAGAGAGATCACTTATCAACTGTTATGACTGCCACACAGTTTCATAATGAGTTTGTTAATTTGTGATTAAAAGAGTTGCAAAGCATTTAGTGGCCAAATTAAAATAAATGTTTTTCAAGGTATTCTCTAAAACAAGCAGCAAACTGAAGACTTACCTTCATCATAAGGCAGTGGTAAATGATTCAATACACCTTGTGTCCACCAATAAGTATAGCTGTAGGGGGAAATTGTACAAACAAATAACATAACATATGAACTCTTATATAAAAAGTATACATGGTTTAGAGAGGGTTAATCTTGCTGTATGCAGGGAGTCAGACTACAGGATTGGCTGAAGTCCTTATTTTTCTTTGATTTTAGCCTTCTTGTACACCCATATTCTGGTGTAGAATAGAGCTGTCCAACTTCCATGTGGCCAGAGGGCACATGTCCTGAATGCTGCATCAGCAAAGTTCACATGCTGCATATGCTGCACCAGGGCAAGCCACAGACCCCTGGGCCCTATGGCTACTCCTGCTTGACTGCTGCACTGAATATCCACAAGGTCCCTGGACCCATCCTATGTTTCCTGCATTGTGCTGCCCCACCACCCTGGGGAAGGGTCAGGAATCAGCTGCTAGAGGAGGGAGGGGGAAACTCAGAGTCCCCAGCTGCTACTGCAGTTGAAGCAAGGGGTAGAGGGGAACAGGTGGTAGAGCAGGAGCTTGGGGGCCACAATTTAACCTTTCATGGGCCACATGCAGCCCACAGATTGTCAGTTGGACAGCCCTGCTGTAGAGCATCTGTACATGGTGCTTTATAATCCAGGATTGGGAGGGCAGAAAGATAATCATCCTTGGCTTGAGAACTTTGAACAGGCCCCAGTCCTGCAACTAGTTCCCTTTTAACAGATAGCTGAACTGAAAAGAGGTCCAATGAAGACAAGACTTCTGCCTGTACAGTGAAGTGTTGACTTCAGGAAGGTTACTCAAACTAACATGGCTCCAGAACTGGACCTCAGAACATACCACAACAAAGAAGGACAAAAGCAGGTGGAGAAGGTAACTGAGAAGACCACAGTCATCAGACTGCAAGACAATAAGATAAAGCTAATTCTAGCACTTCTTTTTACAAAATATCCATCATATCACAAATCTCAAAATTTGAGGAGGTTCGATGGTGTGTGAAGGTCTTCAATAATTCTTATGAGCAAGTACTAGATAAACTTTGCAGATTATCGGTGCTTTGTGAAAAATCCAGATCAGCTAGTTTCCTGGTAGAAGAAACGTGAAATGACAATTTTAACAGAAGATGTTAATTCAGGCTTGAGAACTAGAATGCGTTTCTTTGCTAGAGATTTTAATAGCAAGGGCAATGTGCTCTAGCAGCTTACTCAATGAAAGAACAACCAACTGAAATCAATAAATACCTGGACAACAGAAAGAGCATAGTTTTAATTTTTTAACCTACTCAGGGATGTAGGTATTCCAATTACTGCTTATTTTCTTCTAAATTACTCTGACACTATTAGAAGGAGAAAAAATTGAAAGAAAAAAAGTTAGAAGGTAGGGCTGCAGAAAGATGGCACCTATAGACTGAGTCAGAGACATGCATGTTCATAGACAACAGCCTACAGCCTACTTTGTCAGATGCTATAAATGGACTTGCGAGCAGGCCGATGAAGGAGGCTGTCACCTATGAAAGCTTGTCTCAGCCAGTTAGTCCCCAAGGGGCCAACCTCCCCTGCTTTTTTCTGCCCGACTTCAGACAAGCATAGCTAATTATCTCTCTCTATGAAGAGAGAGAGAGAAAAATGCCATCTTTTTGCTTTTATTTCAAATACATGCATACAGTCCTATTATTAAGGACCAAATTCTGCCTAGGTCAGTACAGTGTTCTGGAACAAGCTGCACTGTGTAGTTCAGTGTTCCTGGGACAACAGCATATGTACTACATACCTGGCTCTGCACTATGGCCACTCCCCTAGAGGATGCCATATGAGACAGTTTTCTAGTGGAGCCAGCTCTTCTCGTTCTGTCAAGCACTATGCAGAAGAATGTTGTTTTACAGCTGGCACTGGTATATGCAAGATAACAGGGGGGGGGAAAGGTCCCTATTTCCATGATTCTGTAGTTCTTCTGCTTAAAATCATGAAGACAGACAATGAAAAGGAACTATACACAACTCTTTATGAAGTCCTCTCTTTCTGAAGGAGAAAGCTACGTAACATGAGAAACTTGAGAAATAAAGACTTTACAGTAAATAACTTTATTCCAAGGTATCCAAGCATATTATTTTTCATTACTTTTTATATTGCTTTAGTGGCCAAAGGCCCCAATCTAGGTCCTCTATGGATACATAAGAACCCATGATCCAATGTGAAGAAATACAATTTGAAGGTGCAAACAGAAATTTAACAGGAAATAAGCAAAAAAAAATCCATCAGTTTACTGTATTCAGAAGTTATTATTTCCCCATGGAACAATGTTGCCTGTATATTATGAATTTTACCAGAAAAAAACTAAGACATTTGACCACAAAGAAATATGAGAAGTCTTAAGAGACAAAAACAAAAAAATGCTAGCAAGTTTTAAGAACTCTATTTCAAGTTGAGAATATAAATGAAGAAGCAGACTGCTTTTGGTACAAATAAGATAATGGATTGATGGAAGACCAAGGAATTCATTTTAGAAACATACAAGTCGGATTCACTTTCACACAGAGCAACAGTCAGGACAAGCAAGCAACAAAATGAACGTGAACGCTATATAGATGTTATGTGCCTAGTCTAACCAGAACTTTGCTGTGTGACTGCAATTAATGTGCAACTAAAAAGTCTCAGGAGACAATGCTGCATAAGAAAATAGATGAAACAATTAAAAAAAAATTGCAATTTAGAAATAGTTGTTTTTGGATATCAACTGAAATGAACAAAAGCAGATATGTAAGACGCTGGAATCTTCTCCAGATTTAAAAACAAAACAAAATAAAAAACACTAAAGTAAACTTTCAGATCTTTTAATAGATTTCATAGATTTTTAGGGTCAGAAGGGACCTCAGTAGATTGAGTCTGACCCCCTGCCCTGGGCAGGAAAGAGCGCTGGGGTCTAATGACCCCAGCTAGCTGCTTGTCCAGTCTCCTCTTAAAGACCCCCAAGGTAGGAGAGAGCACCACCTCCCTTGGAAGCCCATTCCAGGTTCTGGAAACCCTCACCACAAAGACATTTTTCTTAATGCCTAATCTAAATCTGTTCTCCGCCAGTTTATGGCCATTGTTCCTAGTAACCCCAAGGGGCGCCCTGGTGATCCAAGTATTCCCTATTCCTTGCTGGCCCCTGCCCCCAATGGATTTGTAGACAGCCACAAGATCCCCTCTCAGGCTTCTTTTGTGGAGGCTGAAGAGATTCAGGTCCCTCAATCTCTTCTCATAGGATCTTACCTGCAGTCCCCTAACTATACAAGTAGCTGTCTTCTGGACTCTCTCTAGGTTATCCACGTTCCTCTTGAAGTGCAGTGCCCAGAACTGGATGCAGTACTCCAGCTGCAGTCTTATCAATGCTACATAAAGGGGAAGTATCACCTCAGACCTGCTTATGATGCACCTTCTAATGCATGAAACTGTGAGGTTGGCTTTACTTATAACTTTATCACATTGACGTCTTATGTTCATTTTGGAGTCTACATGACTCCAAGATCCCTTCCTGCTGCTGTGCTGCTTAGAAAGTCACTTCCCAGTCTGTAGGTGTGTTGGTGATTCTCTCCCTAGATGCAGCACTTTGTACTTATCTTTGTTAAACTGCACTTTTAGCTGCACAGATGAAGCTTTTACAAGAATAGCAGCACCAAGGTATCATATTTCCTTTATTTCAAGATGATGCGTCCCCCCTCCATTTAACACGGGGGACAAAAAGGCCTTCATCTTGGAATCAAGTGCAAAGTGTCCGGGGAGCGGAGGCAGGTGGCTGCTCCTATGGCCACAGCTAGGGCTCGGGGCTGGAGCCACAGCTGCTGCTGCCTGCCTCCCCACTCCCACCCCACTGCAGCCTCTGTCCTTTACTGCCTCCCGCTCATCCCCACACCTGTCCCCACCCAATGCCTTCGCAGCTCCACAGGTGGCAGAGTAGGAGCACAACTTAACCTTTCGTGGGCCACATGAAGCCCACTGATTGTCAGTTTGACTGATGAATTTAAGATGACCCTACAATAATTAGATTCTACACATGGAAAGTTAAAAAATGTATACATTTTCCACGTATAGAATTTAATTACTAGGGGAGTCATCTTAAATTCAGAGCCATCTTGGATTTACACAAATATAGTAATAGCAAATTTCTAACAGTCAGATGAAATACGAAATGCAATTTAGAAATGGTTTCAGTACCTGTTTCTATCATTACCTTTTTTACCGTGTAAGAAGTGAATCAGAGGGGTGACCCATATTTACAGTACATAACAAGGTCAGTGTGCTGAGATTAACATTTTCAAAAAAAAAAAAAAAATCTTCCTGGAATTTAAGTATTTTATCTTTTTACACCTGTTATACCATTGCACAACTATGATGGGTGGGAGGCATACTGAACTGGGTAGATGCAGTTTTTACAATGGACTCAGTCTGGCTGGAATGCAAAGGGGGTAAGAGGCACAAACGTAAGTGTCTTGATCTCCACAGCTGACTACTGGCTGCAGCCAGAAAAAACAAAGAATGCTTATCACTTAATTTCAAATATATTGCTACTGTAATAAATCTGCTTCAAATTCAGCAGCCAAAGTACTTGTGTACAGAATAACAAAATGCTGGTAATAGCATTTCTGTAAAACAATAAATCATTTCACACTGCAAGTTTCATCTGTAGGAAAATCCTTTTCTTTTTAAAAAAAGTCCATTGAATGGAAAGACTACAAAGCAAATTCTTCAAAACACTAAATGTCTGATGTTGCACAGCCCTGTTTGCAAAACTTGAGACATTTCTTGTTTTTACTAATGTTTAAAATAGGATGTCCCTTCCACTGTACACTTTACTGAGCATCTTTCCAAAAAGCTGAATACATCTAAAACAGTTTAATTCTGAATGTTTATTATAAATTGAATAAGAACAAAACGAAATACCTTCTTCTGGTCTGTGAGAGACTCAGAGTATTCCTGTGATGCAAATAAAAATCAGTTGGAAGTTCCCAGAGATGAGGTTTCCCTTCCGCTGGCTGGAAAACTCCCAGGAACAGGTTAATTGAGTCTTGCCTGTCAGCATCTGTTAGACAAGAGGTTCACTTGATGTTAGAACCCTCATAGAGCTCAACCTTTTGGACACCTACAAAAGCCCCCTTCTGTTCTACCCAAATGCCCTTTATCTCTGCGAGTCCCAAGTTTGTAAAATGTGACCACAGCCACTGGGTTCATATGTCCCTTCCCTACCTCCAAGCAATGTTTCAGTATGTTACTTACTAACTTCTACAGCAAACATTTTTTCCCAAGTGCTCCCTTTTAGAATATCTGGCTTATTTTCTTCACATGTCTTTGAACACTTTTACCTACATTTGATGCTTGAAAGGACTCTGATTAACATGCAACCACTATCCAGTAACTCAGACATTTGAACTGGTAAAGGCACATGAAAAAGATTTACTCCCTTTGACATAACCTGAGTTTACCCAAGCTTAGTCAATGTTGTTATTCAGATTCATTAGCTAATGCTATTTTAGGTAAAACATAAGAATGAAAACTTTGGTTAGTCAAAAATTTCCATGCATTTCTTTCTCTCACTAATCAGTTGGTGAGGCAGGAAGAAAGGCTGGGTTAATAAGGGGATAGGGATATGGTACAGGGTTGAGAAGGGGTTTTAGATGGAGAGAGAAATGAAGGAAGAAGGGTTTCTAGCAAGGGACTTCTGGGGAGACAGAACAGTTCCTAGGCTGGGTTACTTCAAAAAGGGGTATGGATTCTCTGCAATGAGTCTCTAGCAAATGGGTACCTATGGGAACTGGAGAAAGCGGCAGTGTACTTCGCTTTTCTGAACCAGATCAAGTGAAGCAATAATGATTTGGGAAACAAACATCAAATGTTTCAAGGGAGACACTTGGCTCCCCTGTTCTGCTGCCTTAGTTCTACAACATATTAGGAGCAACATTATAGGAACTGAATACACATGGATACAATGACACTGCCCTGTTGTTGATACCACAATAGGGCAGGGGGCAGAGGAGTGGCAAAGAATTCATCAAATGGTAACACTCCATCATTGGGTTCCAGCCAACAGCACAGGCAACTTTCCTTACAACATTTTTCTCTATTTTATTTAGTTGCCCTCATCCCTTCCTTTCCATCACTCAGCATCATTATAGGGAACAAATACATAAGCATTCATCTGAGGAATGGAGTGGGAAGAGTGAAGAGAGAAATCTGGAAATCTGGTGGGAACATGGTTATGGAGAGGCAAGGCACTTCAGAGGGCTAACAGTGATATGCAGGAGGAAGTGAGTGGAGACTGCAGGAGGCATTAAAAGTAGGCTTGTATGAAGACAGAGAAGCCAAGTACCCTTTTTGAGGGGCTGTGATGGGAACAGCAGCAGGGAGAACTCGACAAGCCGTAAGTGAAGCTCCTCTTTCCTCTACTTTTGCAGGATTGTTGGAAATAGGCTTATGTGCAGAGTGTATGGAAGCAAAGTGCATCCTGGGAGGGGTTGGGTCACAAAAAGCAGAGGGGGAAAATTCTTGATGAGCCACTGGCATAGCTCCTCAGCTCCTTATCCAAAGACTCCCTCCCAATCCCTTCTTATGACTGTGTTAACCTTACCACCTCCACAACACTTCCCCATAATTCTCGGTATGTATGGTCCTCAAAATTCTGTTTTTCAACATGTTTTCTTGCTCTTCACCATGTCTTTTAAATTCCTTGCCTTTCTTTCACCTCAAGACCCATCCACCTGAAGAACCATCGATGTGCCGTGGTAAAGATCATTCTCAAATTGAGGGATTGCTGACAACAATAGAGCAGGTCTTCTTGTAAAATGGTTAGTGCAATGACTTAACTTAGGGATGGTAAGAGAATGAGGAAGACTAGGTAGCAAACCAACAAAAAGTTTAGAAGAGTGTGATGATGGCATACCATTTTTTAAAGACTAAAGAAAGGCAGAGTTACAATCCAGATAGAGGGTCACTTGCAGTTGTACAGCTAGTGCCAGATAAAGCACAGTACAGTTTTCTCAACTACACTTAGCATAAGATTATGGAGGACAGAAGTCCTGAATCCAAATGAGTTATTAAGAACAAATGGCTTAAAAATTACTTAGTGTGAAGAGTTTTCTCTAGATAAAGGTAAACTTTAATCACCGTTTCAAGTGCCAGGAACACAAAATTTGTTGACATGAATTATCATGTTTCACTGTAATTTAGTTAACTCACTCAGTATCTTGCTGTTTACATGAAGCATGATAAACAAAGCAAAGCTGTATTATGTTCAGTTAAAATCTGTTTTGGAGCCAAGACCAACATGTCTTAATGAATTATAAGACAAATCTCTAACAATGGTTCTTAAACTTTCACAGACTCAGGATACCCTGTCAATAGATTCAAGGCACCCTTTGGACAGATTTGAGGCATCTCTCAAAAAATGTCAGCTCTTAGCTTTCATTCTTTTTTTTTTTACTACAGAAAAAGAAATACAGCAGTTTTTCCATAGCAAAGAACTCAGATAGCCCACAACAGGGCAGAAGGGTTTTAACATCTTTGCTATTGCTGTTTGAAAACTCTGGTTTTCTCTTACAAATCATGTTTGCACACCATGCAGTGCATGCCACCCCATGGCAGCCTTGACAGGATCTCAAGGCACCCCCAGCTGCCATGGCATCCTGGTTGAGCATCACTCTAAACTGCGTACACAACAGCAACTGTACACACTTTTTCTTAAATATCAGAAAAATGTCACATTCATAAAACATTTCCACATCAACATTCCAGCCTTCTTTCTGCACTTACACCGTGAAGTCAGGGTTGTTCAGCTGGAGGCCCCTGAATGGTCAGCATGCACCCCATGGGTTTTCACCCAACTTACTTCCCCCCTACTCTTGCTGTGGTGCCTGGGAGGGAGCTGGAGTGCCCGAGTTGCATGCCTGACAAAGAAGGAAGCTCAGCTGCCAGCACTGCAGATGGGTGGTGGATGCAGCCAGGAGAGAGTGGGGGGTGTTGAGCATGCAGCAGGGTAAGCCAAGCTGAGAAGGCATGTATGGCTGGGAGAGAGAGGGAGTCAAGCTTCCTAAGTGCATGCATGGGGGGCACTGGGCAGCTAGGGTCCACTCTGCTCCCAGTCACACACACAGCATCTCCTCCTCCAGCTGGGAGACATCAGGCTGCCGATGCTGTGGGGGATGGGCTGACTGCACAGCATGCATGGCTGAGTGGTGGGTGGGGGATAAACCGGGCTATGTGTATGGTGGAGAGGGGGTGGTCATTGGGCAGCTAAAACAACTGGGAGAGGGTGAGGAAGTCAGGCTTTCTATGCTGTCCGGGCAGGCAGGAGCACTACACAGCCAATGCAATGGGGAAGCCAGCAGATCCACCTGCCTAGCATGCAGCGCACAGGTCTGTGGCCTGTGTGGGATGGCAGCCCCTGGCTGCCCAGAAGTTGGACAGTCTTGCTATTAAGTGATGCAATTGTGTGTGAACCTTAACTCAAATAAAGTATGTCTAATCAATGAACTTCTTGGTATTTCTTGGTTATTGTTTTTTTAATCCGTAAACTCAGTCTGAAAACAGATTTAAAACACAATGTAAAAGATCGTCCATTGATAGCTCTTCAGACAGGTGCACACAGATGTCAACCACAGTGGTCAACCACGAGTAATTTTATTAGATAGGAGAGATTAGATCCAGATTTCAGGCTGAATTTTATGATTTACTTTTGGATCAAATACAATGGAGGGTTTTGTCCTCCTTTAAAATGTTGGTTATTAAAAAAAGAAGGATAATGGGTTTCATAGACCATTTTTATTTGATACAATAAATCCTACATTCTTAAGAAAAACAAACAAACAAAAAACCCATATCCATGCTATACAGACAGAAGAAAAGAGCACACAGTTTTTATCTCCTTTAAAACTAGTACCAGAGTTTGAAATTATGCACAGCAGGTAAGATTATTCCATATAGATTTTTTTCAAAAGGTAGTGCACATTATGTGTGTTCTAGCACACTTTACATAAGATATTTGACAAAACTGGAACTAAAGTGACACAGTGGGCGTGTCTACATGTGTGCAGGCTGCACAGTTGTTACTGCGCAGTCATTTAGTACTTGCTTAAGTACATGTGAGCATGTGGCACACGTGTAACTGACACCACACCGGTCATTTCCGATGCTAAGGCACACTAGCTCGTTGGTACTGTGCAGCATCAGCGTCATGGTTCATGCCCACCAATGCTACGTCACTGAAGCAATGAGCTATAGTGGTGTAGCTCGTCGCTACGGCAACGTAGCATCTCATGCAGACATGCCCAGAAATTAGCTAATTTTAATACACATTAAAAGAGAGTTTCCAATGTCCACTTCTGTTGCAGATAAGTTTCTCTACACGTTGTAACAATAACATTCAAGTTTATGAAGCTACATCCCTTTCTTCATGAAAGCTACAGAATCCCCAGAAACACTACTTCAAACATGCTCTCTAATTTTTTCCTAACACCAGTAAGCAAAAGAAAGCATTGGAAACAGAATTAGTCAGATCGCTTGTCAGTAAAGTTGCCAAACAATGTTAAATGATTTCTTATTCTCATTATTTGAAAAGATTTAAGGAGCTATCCCTTTTTACAGCTTACTGCAGCTGAGGCTAGAGCAAGGGGTATAACTTGAGCAGTTATGTTCCTGACTTCCACTATAATCCTTCAATATTCTCAAAAAAAATCCTTAGGCATTGAATTTTTGAATGCTTCGTTTCTTTGACTAAAGGGGAAGTTTTATTTATTTAAGTTACCACAGACTGACCAAACTGTTTTTGGTCAGTGCCCTGATTATAGAAACACTGTTTAAGCTTTTATGCTCCAAATTATTTAGGAAAATGACACAACTTCCTTTTTACAGAAATAACTTTTCTATACTTCATTTTTCAAGACACACATCAAGTGTTAAAATCAAGTCTGTGACTTAGGTCAACTGTCGTGTGTATGCGTGTGCGTGGATGTGTGCGCGCGCACACGCGCGCACCCCTTATCTAATACAGTAGTAGCTCTTGACATTTTTAGACTAAAGGCACCCCCCAGAAAATGTCAGCTCTTAGTTTTCACTTGTTTTTTCATTACAGAAAAATAATAACTTTTTTTCTGTAGCAAACAACACAGAAAGATCAAAACAGGTCAGAATGTATTTAAAACTATGGATTCCTATTTGAAATCTCTGGGTTTATACTGTGAAACATGACTGCACAACTAACGGTGATAATATTGTGTGGCACCCTGCAACACCCTTGAAAAGTTCTCAAGGCATCTCAGGATGCCACAGCACCCTGGTTGAGAATCAACGATCTAGTAGATCAGTGATTCTGGGCAAGTCACTTAGCCAATCTGTGCCTTTTCTCTCTCATTTGTACAAACTGGGTATGACTACATGTTCATTAAGGCACCATAACTACAGTACATTAAGTTTAGTAACTGTAATAACATGTACTAAAATTAATGTGCCATAATCGGCACTACTGAGCATTTGCACAGATGAAAGCTTTTTTGTGATGCTTAATGCCCATTAGACTAATTTACTGAGCATTATCAAGGTTTTTGCCAGCCGCACTAATGCGCAGTAAAATTAGTCCAATTAGTCCATTAAGTGACTTGTGTAGATGCGGCCACTGATTAGCAATGCTTAATCTAATGCTTTGAGGTCTACAGATGAAAACGTGCTATGTAACTGCAACTTATTTTTTAACATTACACATTTTTCCATGGTCAGAGGAAGTACGCTTAATTATTTATCTGGGAGGCCTTGTAAGCTAGTAGAGTATGCAAGCAGTTTCTAAATCTGTTTTTGAAAATTACACGTTGCTTACCTTTAGGCAAGTCAATAAATCTTTGTGCCAGTCTCCTTCCCTGTATGCAGGGAGAACACAAATATGCTCTAATATACAGGCATGCTGCAAGGCTTAATTAATTAATATTAATTAGTATTTCAAACTATTTCAAGTTTTTAAATATGAAATACAATAAGGCCATGACTACTGAGCTGGGGAGTTCAGTGAAAACAACAAGAAAACATGCCAGATAGTATCAGTAATAAGTGCAGCTCAGCACAATCACCACCTTGCTTACTCTAATTTTATTTTGATGAAATCCACAATTAGCAAACAATTAAAAGATTGAATTTAAAGTCAGGACCCTGTTTTTTTTATCATGGACATTCAGCAACAAAAAGCTAACCAATGGTTTTAAGTGCTCTTTTTTTTTTTAAATAACCCGACTTTGGAAAGACAGGTTTACTGACAAGCAAGGATTAGCAATATATGTGAATTTACAATATGTAGCTATCAAATGGTGTCAGAATACTAGAATAAAAGCAACAAAATGCAATTTACCTGAGAAAGCATTACTGTAATATCTTGACAGAGTTTGCATGATATCTTTGGAATGCTGGGTCCATGGTGCTATCTTCCTGTAGGTTTTTACTCTATGAACCAGCTGTGAACCTCCATATTGAAGGGAAAGTGTGTCTCCATGATCTTCATACAACTCTTCAAACAATCTGCATTATTGATAACAATATTTAAGAATGTTATAAAAACTGTTGGGTAGTCTAATTTTACACACACACACACACACACACACACACACACACAAATAAGATTTAAGGGTAAACAGGAAGAGGGTCAAGCTATTTTAGGAGAAAAAGAAAACCACCCTAGGTAAGAAAACTTTCCACCCTGACTACCACCCTGCGCTGCACTGCTCTAGACAGGCTACCTCCTAGACAAGAAGTAGTATAGTTGTTGTACAGCAACTGGGGTGACTAATTATGAGTGCTGCATGACAGTGCCAATTAATGCAGGTAGAGTCAGCCATGTGCAGATATCTATCTGTAGGACTATATACACCCTTGCAGCACCACAAAAACTAAATGTTCACATGTGCATGCTGCCTATAATGCTATAAAAATGGTGAAAGTGCTAAAACAAAAACAACAACAACTTCCTTGGATGAAACAGGAACTTCTTTATAGTGGTATGTTTTGGAGTACCACCTGTAATATTTTTAACAATGCACTGTGCCAATACAGGGGGTCTCTTGGTCCCCCAGCATCTTGCAGTGCTTCACTCTCCCTCCCATTCCAAGGTGTGGGAGGCAGGGAGAACTGGGTGGATAAGTAATGAGGGCTGCATGGGAGCTCAGCTGGGTCTGGGGCACAGTAAGCAGAACTGCAGGCTTCCTCCACCATCAACCCCCCTGGATAGACCATTACTGACCTCAAAATGGCTGCTCTTAGACAAGAGAATTTTAAAAACCAACCTGAATGTGAAATAACAGAACAAGAAATCCTCCACAGACTGGACTGGGTGATGTATGGTCTAAACAGAGATTTTGAATTCTTATCCCATTACCTGGATTAGATTTTATGGACCTTGGTGTCCCCATGGGTTTATTGCTATTGTAAGATGTGCCTCCAGGACTAAGTTTGGCCTGTGTAGCAGTGACAAGCTGCAAAAGGCCTCAAAACCTGTGCTTGTGTGACTTGCTACAAAATATGGCTAAGCAGAAACAGCCCCAGAAGGTTCTGCCTGGGTAACTACAGCATAAACCCCTGAGGTTGTAGCAGCTGGCTTAATCAGCAAAGAAGAGGAAGCTATCCCTAAGCCTCATTAGCCAAGATCAAAGGGAGCACTAGGTAAAAGGAGTTTGCAAAACAAAGCAGCCTTGTTGGGTGATAAACATGTCACTGGCATTTAACTATGGGAGGGAAA